CTAAGATTAAGAGTCTAGAAAAAAAGATAGGTTTAAATAAAAGTTTATAAATGCAAATACAGCTGTAGAATGATAAGTAGAGCAGTATTGCGTGTAGTAATAGATGCCGGATCGAATAGATGCCAATACACATGCCAATACAAGAATTTACAATTCTGTAAAGCCAATATATAAAAAATGTCGGTAAAACAGAGAGACTCCAGCATCCCCTTAAGCCATAATCTCCTGAAATCGAGAGCGAAAACTTCTATTGTTATTTACAGTTTACATTTGTAACTGAGAAACTTGGCGAAGAGTATTTGCAGATTTATCAGCACAGAAAAAAAAAGTGTATCTACCGTAGCTATAAAAACTGCACGTGGCAACTAAATTTCAGTTGTAAAATATGAACAGCTAATATTTAGTTGCGATGGCTAATATTTTGCTACTGTGCCTATTGTATTAGCCGCGACAGCAAACCGCGTTTGCTGTGGTTTAGAAATTTATGGATCAGCTACGGTGGCGAAATGTTTTTCTCCAGTGTGCGATATTAGTTTTTGTTAAATTTGCCTAATCTAAATCTGTAAAAGCATTATTGAAATCTCGCGTCTATATACTTCGGCTTTGTCACGAACGGTTCGCACACTGCGACAAAAATGCCCGATTAAATATAATCGGATAATTCAATTACATAATGTAACAAACGGATATATTCATTGAAATTATATGTCTGATGAGAAACATGATCGGTTTGTCAACCAAATTTCATCGGATGTGCCCAGAATTTTATCGGAAAACGTAATCGGTAAAATTAACCATCGGACACACTAATCGGTTTATCCGATGGAAATTGTTCTCAGTGCACCGACTAGAGTTTCATGACTCGCGAAAACGTTCCGCGATCACCTGGACAATTCAACCGTCCTGCCAGATTTGCTAACGTGGCGTTTCTCTCATCTGTTTCAGGGGAAAAGCCGTACAAGTGCAGCTGGGAGGGCTGCGAGTGGCGATTCGCGCGTTCGGACGAATTGACGCGCCATTACCGCAAGCACACCGGCGCGAAGCCGTTCAAGTGCCGGCACTGCGACCGATGCTTCTCCCGCAGCGACCATCTAGCTCTCCACATGAAGAGACACGTGTAATCAATCGTCTCCGCGAGCGGTCGCGGCCGCGCGTCACACTCCGCGGTTGGGACCGTCGAGACCTCTTCCTCGTAAAGATCGCGGAGATACCTTCGACATTTGCACGGCGAGATTCGCACGCGATCTAGCATTTCCCGAGGTCACCTAGTAGTATGCTGCAAGTAGAGGGGCGCTCGTGCGCCTAAGCTTGATGAACAAACGTTCAAGGGAGAGATCTACGAAAGTAGCTATATTAGGTATTCGAGATTCGTCAGACTCCGTTGACATGGGGAAACCCATTTTCGGGGGTCGTGAGGAGATCGATGATTAGCGAGACGCTGTTTGGAGACAATCGAGGATCGAGTTTATGTCTAAGATGGCGATCCGCGGGGACGATTCGGAGGAAGGCTTTGACGAGCGGTCAGATGACGTAGAGTAACATTTCGTCGGAGTCCAAAGAGTCTTACGCGTGATAACGACGTGCGTTTCCTCCAAGTGCCCTGTAAGATCGAGAGGGGGGGGGGAAGACATACGAGTGATCAGCGACACTTGTCTTTAGGAGCCAAAGGGATCGGCGCGAAACGAATTTTCGACGCCCGCCGACTCGCGCGAATTTTAGGAGGCGGAGACACACCGACGGTCAGCAGTGCGTCCGGATGAGAGATTGCGATCTGACATAGGGGCAGGGCCTCCGGGGAAGTTGCCGAGCAAAGAAGTCGCCGGGGAAGTCTCGCACGAGAGACGTCAATCACTGCCAATTCGTTACATTCTAAGATCAGCGCTACCGTCGAAGATTTCGTGCTGCGACTTTTAGCGACCGGAGGTCCGCCAGAAGCGAGACGCTGACTCGGGGCGAGCCTAAAGTTTTCGCCGACCCTCAATGGCGCGCGGCACGGGGCGGCTGCTCATTCGATGCGATAGAAAGAACGGAATTGTAATGTTAAAAAAAAACAGTAACGCTCCTACTATATACACGTACGTACCGCAGAACGGACCGCGTTTACCTTCTCCAAAGCCGATCGAACTGTCGCATTTTACCGATGCCGAGGTGCGTCGGGTGTCGCGAGGGCCGTCGCGCGCGCGCGCGCGCATGCACGAGAAAAAAAGAAATGGAGAAAAAAAAATCGTAGATTTCGCGAGGACAATAATGCAAACTGTCGGTGCCAAACGTTATTTCCTTTCTCTTGCTTTTCCTGTCAGGAGCTCCGCGAAGACATTCGCGACTAAAAAAAAAAAACGCGCGCGGCACTCGCGGCACCGAGCGTATCGCGCTCTCACGCAGCGGGAGAGCCGAGGCGGACGCGCGACGCGTGGTAATTGAATACGTGATTTCGACCAGTTTCGACGGCGACGAAGATTTCGCCGCGCCGGCTGCTAATCCTGAATTTACAGTGCGAATTACAACGCGGCCCGCCGCCGCCGCAGCAGCCGCCGCCGCTTACCAGCCCGCTCGCAGAAGGAGCTTACAAATGCGGGATACGACTGTTTCGCTTTGCTACTTACAACTGATTTTTACTAAACGCCGACGCACTCCAGCTTTCAGGTAATCCACTCGATCGTCGTTGTCGACGTGGCGCTTTTTCATTCTTACGGAAGGGAGAGGGAAACCTACTCGAACCTTGCATGCCTGTGCGGGGGAGTGTAAAGGGCTCTTCGTCTCCCGTCATCTTCTCCGACTGCGGCGCTTACTCGTGGCGTGCGCGGGGCAAGGGGATCGTCCGACGAGACGATCATCACGAAAAACTCAACAGAATACAAATATAAATATATATATATTTTTTAATATTCTCGTCATACTCATTGAAACAATGTAGATAAGCAAGTATATTACGGGCTGTATAATCCGCATAAGATTTCGTACGCTTTTCACGCAGCCGAATATTTCGCGGACGATCCCCTGCCCCGTGCACGATCCGCGGCAGACAGCCGGCTTCACTATCTTGTATCTCGCGAGGGCGCCGATCCGCAACGGCTGATCGTCAGGCGGGAGATCGCTCGTCTCGCTCGTCATCGATCTGAAGGATCCGGATGTTTAATATATCGCGCGCAACAGAATAATCAAGTATCCCGGCGACAAAGACAAGGGGAGAAAGTACGAAGTAGTCGAAATCGTTGCAGCACGCACCTATCAAAAAAAAAAGAAAAGAAAGAAACGCGAGGAAAGGAGGAAACTTAAAAAAAAAAGACTAATCTTACCTGATCGTGAGAGGCGAGTTAGCCAAGGAGATGAGAAGTAAAAAATAACTAAATTTTAAATGTTCAGTGGCCAAATAAATTATAATTGATACGCACGTAGAACCTAAAAAAAAAAATATTCCGTACCTACTGAGTAAGCCCGACCGACTTGCGGGGTCGGGCACGGTTCGTACGAGTGCATGTGCATGCGAGTGCGGCTGTGTTGTGTCTGCATGGGTCGTCGATGCGCGCGTGTATACGTGTGTCTGCGTGCGAGCGTGTGTGCGTGCGTGTGTGCGTGTACTTTTTTCCACGGGTATTCCAAACCTGAATGGTGGAGAATCCAAGGGGAGGAGACGAGTCGAACACTGAGTTTGTATATTGTGCAATTTTTTCAATGTTTCATTATTTGTTACCATGTTCACAATTAATTATAAATAAATAAATAAAATATATATATATATATATGTAGCATTTACAATTTTAAGATATAAACGGCCATGAAGCCAGACGTCTTTTTGATAGCCATATTCGGATACTGTGGTCGTCGTTGCGTTCGCGACATCCCCCTCCCCCCATCCCCGATCTTTTTTTCCGACGGGCGAGATGTAATTAAAAGTACGCGTAGTACAAGGGAAAAGAAATGGCCGCGCGAAAGATGCAAAGTCTCGTCTCTGACCTCGACGACCTCTCGTTAAATTCCATGCCGACCGCTGGAACGAAAGTAACTGAAGATAATGGTCCTTGTTAGAGCTAGAGTCCACGCATGTATAATTTGCTCTTCAGACTCGCGCACCTCTACGCTGGGTCCGTATTTAGACTTAGTGTTGGGAAGGGGGCGACGAGTCGATGCCGCAAAAGGGAAAGGCTTTTCCCGGCGAAAGGTCTTTGTCGTCACGACGAACGTTTCCGGCATTTCCAATCGAGGCGACCAACGAGCTCTGTAGATATATATCGCTAAGCGAACGAGATCGGAGATAGAGGCGCGTGCGATTGCACGAGCAATTAAGTAACGGCAAGAGAAAATCGGATACTTTGAATAAAAAAGTAGCTAAACGTTTAGATAGATAGATGGATAGCTAAATCGTTAGATAGGCACTTAGATAGACAGATGAATATTATAGGTTGACGAATGGGGATAGAGCGTGTGCGCCCAAGAGTGCTTGAGAATACATAGAGAGTAGGTAGAGATCGTTATACATAGGTAGAGATGTAAGTATCTAAGAAAACTCTAAAGAACCTTAGGAGAAGCAGTATCGTTGTACGAGGTACGATAAGTGAACATAAATGTTTTATGATACTCGCGTACAAGAAAAACGAGATGAGAATACTGAGAAATAAAAAAACTAAAAACGTACACACGTAAAATTAAGTGGTAATAAAAAAATTAAAAAACAGTACGATTATAATTGTATTATCGTGGTCTAAGGTATTTTCAGTCATGTTGTATAGTAATTGTAAATTAAACGATTTTAAAGGGAGGAAAAATGAACGTATGAACGTGCGCGTGTGCGTGTGTGCGTGCGTGTGAGAGGGAGCGGGAGAACGAGAGAGAAAGGAGGAGAGAATGACAGGAACGGCAAACGTAAAAAGTGCCGCGCGGCTCATGCTGGATCTTTGCGCAAAAAAAAAAAGAATAGGCAGAATTGAATTAAAGTACGAAAAATTAAAGCGAATGGATTACATCGGTCGAGTGTCGCGAAATTTGTATAATAAACACTCTTCCCCCTCCTTCCAAAGGTTTCGACACGAGCTAGCAAGTGGAATGTGAATTGAAAGCGAAATATAAAGTCTCCTTTTAATAATAATGCTAATAATAAATAACAAATACTCTCGCGATAACGGAGCACTGACGAACGCAACACTGGACAGCTGTAATCGTGTAAATTTCGAAGCACTTATCCCCGACACGAGTGAAAGAGATTTAATGTTGCTATTTATAAAGTTACGAGAAAAAAAAAGAGAAATACTAATTGACGACTTGTCAAAATTCAGAACGTCTGTAACTATTTCATTTATTGATTTTATTTTGCGGTAATTCCATACACGTTTTTGGGCTTAAATGTAATTCCTTTATTAATATTTTATTACTATTTTAACAACGTCGCAGTCTCTGCGCGAGAAATATTTTATATTTTATTTAAAAATTATATTTTTTTATATTGAAAACTGTTACGTCAAAATTCACTTCGAATCATTGATTTTTTCCCTCACATTGTCAAATGTACATTTAAAATGCTACACTGAATTGATAGAACTAATATTATTTTTAGGGAATTTCCTCGTTAGAACAGGATTAAAGAAAATTAATTAAAAACATGAGTACTATTAATGATATACACAAGGATTTTATGACAAAAGATTGAAAAAGAACAGCGAGAAATGAAGAGAGAGAGAGAGAGAGAGGAGAAAAAGTTTGAATAAAAAATAAATAAAAAGAGAGAAAAAGAATAACGATGCAAGTGAATACGGGAATACAACTGACGTGCGAATGAACAAGAGTGAAAGTGTATAAATAAGAGAGAGAGAGAGAGAGAGAGAGAGAATGAAAGGGAGAAAGAAAGAAAGACAAGATGCGCGAGAACGAAAGAATAATGAGAAAAAAAGAAATAAAGACGATATAACTTATATTTTTAAAAAGTGACCTTTGGCATATATAAAGACTTGTAAAAATCGTGCAACGAGTTAAATAAACAAACAAAATCAAGGGCGCGGTGTATTAAGAGGCGTCCGTCCTTCTCCGTGTCTCTTCTCATGTACACGATGCACTTAACACACATACCAACGCGTACACGCATACATACACGCGCACGCGTGTACACACGTGCACACGGCGCACTCGTTGAAATATTCGGTAACAGGTGCGATTTACAATTCCGAGACATTTTCTAAATTGCGGTACGTACCCACATTTCTAGCCGTCGAGCCGCATGTACGGACACACACGGGGCATACGACGCAACGCGGGGCCCGAAATTAAGAAAGAGTCCGAATACGTACCCCGCGCGATCCAATCTCAAGAAACTGAGGACAGACGAGAACTGGGAAAAATCGAAAACTTATTCCAGCGGGTAGGGGGAGGGGGGGGACTGAAAGAGCCACGCAATTCCTCTGAAAGAAACATACATCTCACAAAACGCAACTAATCGGTAGACGCGTATACTTATTAGGCGGACGATTATCTCGGGGGGGGGGGGGCTAAGGGTAGAAAAATGATTTCGCGATCAACGCTCTCGATTCTCGCGCCTCGCTCGCGCGATCTTCCCCGGTTCGTCGCTAATCGCGAGTCTTCCTGATCTCGAATCGAATCCCTGACGTTCACGCGGCGCATCAAAAGGACGAAGGAAAAAAAAAACAATACCGGTTAAAGTGACGCGGCTATCAAACGGATAGGCGCGCTCTGTCGGGGATGAAAACTTTTCTCGGCGACGAGGTGTCGAGCATCGAGGTGGGAAAGGGGAATGAAAACGAGCCAGCAAACAGTCACCGCACAGTCACTAATGTCATCCAGCAACACAATCCATGGTAGGGGATAGTATTTTTAGGGATTTTATACAGGCATGCGACGGCATTTCTATGTTTTAGCCGGGATTTACTGTCGACGATTATTGACATTTCTTCGTGTATGTACGTAAGACGAGTGCGTGCGCACGTAACACATGTAACGAGAGGCAGTGCGAACGGAAGAGCACGCAATACGATTCTTGAGGGAGTGCCGGAGAGTAAGGGGTAGATTGGAGAGGGGGGGAGGGAGCGAATGTGGCAGTAAGCGGAAATCATTTCTCCAGAATTACTGTATCTCTCGTTGCGTATATACATTTCTATTTATATAACTGCGTATTAACGTATTACGACAATGTGATTTATTATGTGTGATTTTGAGCGCGGAGAGATGTAGGGAAATCTTTAAGGGAGCGTTTTATATTGCGAGATAATATGGACGGAGGAGAGATGCGAGCGAGAAGAGGAGAGCGGGAGTGCAAAGGAGGACGAGTGCAAAAGCGCGATAGTTAATATCCTTGTAGTCGCAGCTTCCTTTGAGTCGCTCAACTGTATAATTGTAACGAAGACCGCGACCGCGCTTGCGTGTAGGTGTCGTTTCTTTCCCTCGGCGTTATTTCTTCCTCTTCCCTTTCCGTTCCGTTTCCACTTCCGGTATCGTCGCACGGTCGCTATGTTTTCGTTGTTTTCTCGTCAAGATGGACGATGACCGCCCGCGGACATTATGCTCCTTTATCTGTCGTGCTTGTCTATCGGTATGGAGAAGAAAAAGAAAATACGACAACGAAAACCGAATCATTAGTAGTTACGCTAATAAAAATGTTAAAAGTGTATATTCATGTATATTCGATATCGGTACGTAATCGACTTTTTACGCGATGCTGCATCCTACGCTCCACGCAGAACTTCTTGACCGTCGCCGTCTTCGAAAGGTCGGCAGCTTATCGATCATCTTATTGAAAGCAAGCGCCACATTTCTCGGGTCTGTCCGTCGAAGTCTGACGCAGGGACTTTCCACACACAACCGCTCTTTCCACACACTCCCCTCTCGGAAAATATCTCGTACCCCGCATTACACGGCGCCGCGTAAACACGCGCTACTTCGCGCTTCGAGTCGTTCGTATCGATTGCATTGCGTGAGAGAGAGCGAAAGAGAGAGAGAGAGAGAGAGAGAGAGAAAGAAAGAGACGGACGTAATACCACAATACGTGCGTACACGCTTCAGCACGCGCGGGAGCTCGAGAGTCTCGTCTACCAGACCCTATTCGTCGGAATGTGATCGTATGTTTTTTTTTTAAATTTAATAACTTTTAAGCGAGTCCCCTCGCGCTGCGAAGCGAGCGCTGGACGTTATCAGCGACGGAGGAATCGATAATCACGCGCGACAACACGCCGAGAAAAGAGAACGGAAACGAACGCGAAATGTATACGATTCTAGGAACCTGACTGTCCTCGACGACAAAACACAGATTACGTAAACGGAAAAAGGGATAAAGAAAATAAGAAAAAAAAAGAGAGGAACACAAGAGAAAGGCATCTTCATCGAAAGTTAAAGACTAAATCACCTTACCGCAAAAGTCTCCCAGCAGTCGAGACGCGATGGTTTACTCCGAAGACTCGACGTTTTGTACAAGGTGTAGCGAGCTCGTGTAACGAGCGCAGTTAGGTGATCACATGTGATATTTGTATCGGCTATTATATATAAATATATACATATATATATGTAAATGTACATTATATATTAGAGAGTATTCCGTTAGGATTATGACTGGTAGTTAGAAAAGAAAAAGACGTAAAGGGGGGACGACATGGGGAAAAAGGGAATGGGAGAGAGAAGAAAGACGAATGCGTCGGGGTACCATCGAACGTCCCGCCGTAGAACAAGCAAACGTGGACGGAAGAGTGAGGGGAAACGGCGGAAACGATCAATTTTCCGCGGAAACATCATCGCTCC